ATACGGCCGTTAATAATACGTAAACATGATGATTTGCAAAAGATCTAACAGTTTAATACCATGATTGTTATGTTTACTATCTATTTGTGGCCCTGCATGAGGTACTATCGGGTTCATAATCTATGTCATCAATGTTTTTGTTTACTTTATCATGTACAATGAAATCATTTTTTATTGCCTACCCTACTGTTAAAGTACACCAAAAAGATATATAGAACCAAGACTTTCATAAGTAAATACATCATTTTCTAATGTTTCAAATAAGTCGGTATTAAAAGTATTATATACAGGTGAATTTTCGCCCCAAATATATACACCACATAAATATATATCTTCATCAACATTAAAAAAGTACGATCTAATTTCAACCAAATAATTGTATCAAAATGATTTCTGAACAACTTGAATTCCTTCTTTTAAGTGTTCTTTATAATAAAGCACTATTCCGCCACTACATCTGCGCGCATTCTTATTTTGAAACTTTCGAAAAAAGTTATGAGTGACGTAACCATTAATAGAAATATTACTATGAGAATGTGTCCATGATTCATATAAGAAACAATAATCATGTTTACTTATAATATTAACAAAATCTCTTTATTTTACTTTCTTATCATTAGTAAGTCCGTGGACATTCCATGAAAGTATCGAAAGTTCATCTCTGTCGCACCCCTAATCTTTGATCGGTCGTCCGTCTATAAATAGCGTTATCGTACGCTATCCATGCTCTTTTTCCCTTCATCTCGAGCTGCCTTTAATTTGGGGACTAGTTTTTCTCCTTTTTAGAAATCACTTCCTGTGGGAATTGTTCGTACATTTGAAAATCCGTTTCCTGTAAATTTTTCCATTGTCTGCGCACCTGTTCCCGGACTTTGAAATACGTGAATTTGGCCACAACTGTCCTCTTTTTTCCTGGTAATATATGACCTGGTGATCGGTGTACACGTTCAAATCGGATTTCGTTAACGGCTTCCTTCGAGATCTTCAGGGCCTCGTGAAGATGATTCCTTAACTTTTGCTCGGTAACTTCCTGTGATTCATTTCCACTTGAATTGTCCTCCGGTATATTCGTAAATATGAGGTTATTGCGCATAGATTGCGACTTTAGGTATGTAACTTCATCACGGGCAACGTCACGAGCTTTTTCTAATTCATCGACTTTGTTAGCAAGTAAAGCTGAACTTATGTCTATATTTTCCATTTTATCCTCTAAACTTAACACACATTCTTCTACTTTCTTTGCTCTTTCATCAATAGCTAACCAAATACTTTTTAGTTCTTTTTCAAATCCTGATACCTGTTTTTCGAGATGGTCTAATGCACAAAGTTTTTTCTCCACTGAATCTAACCTTTTACAAATACCGTTTAAACACAACATGATGTCACTGTTAGTAGGCTGTTTATCTTTTTTTCCGCCATTTTGTCCGCCATCTTATCGCTTATTCCCGGGAAATTTGTATTCAATTCAAAAACAGAATTATCAATAGTAGAAATGTCATCCTGAAGATCATCAATAGTAGCATTTTCATCATAAAGTACAGCATTTGTCTGATTAAGAACATCACTAACTGAAACATTTAAATCTCCAGAAGGGCCTCTCTGCTTAAATATTTTTCTATTGCTTACATTATTACTGTCATTACCACTGCTATTTCTGTCTTTTCTTTTCTTATTTTTCTTATCACCCATAGTATAATTGTAACTCACATGTTTGTTATCAAGTTTATCCAATTATATCCAAAATATTCCACTTTTAAACACTTTTATTCCCGATAAATCAAAAAATATTTTCCCTCAGAAAATTTAAACCACCATTTTTCAGGCATGCGCACCAACATCTTAGTACTGATGCAGCTCTGAAAATAATCACCGCTTGAAAAATAAAAGCGTTAGAAGGCTCCTTTACTTTGCCATAATGCAATCAAAATAACTGTACAGTCTTCGTGCTCAATTCCTACGCATTAAAACAGTAAACCGCTGTTAAATACAATTTACACCTTTGAGACCAATATAATATCTGAGAGACAAGACTCTTTCAACATTGACATTGTGACGTCATAATGTCTTAGCAAAATGACTTGCAAGTTAAAAAGCTATCATGTACATTTTACTTTAGGACTGTGCATAGTATTTTAGAATGGCATTTTACTTTTTAAATGTATACTGAGTTACCAAAGATTTCAGTTTGTAATTTTGAAATGGCTAATGAAAATTAATCCTTATTCAGTTATTTCCTGTTAATTTTTTTAAAGGAAAAGAAACCAAGTTGTTTTTATGTCCTATTGAAACACTTTCTTTTTAAAGTAGGGGTGTACATGACTGATTGGTTAGGGTATTTGACTTAAAACCACCTTCCCCTTACCAATGTGGGTTCAAAGGCCGTTATGTTATGTTATGCGGTAACATACTCTATGACCCAGTGGCATCTGACCAATTAAACAGCTACTGATTGACATCAATTAAAGCAATAGTTCCTTCAAAATTAACATGATTAACTGTCCGTCTGGTATCTGTGGCTGATGTCACTTGACTATCGGTAAAATTTGAGGCACTCGGTTGAGGAAATGGAACGCATTTAAAATGCGTACCGCTAGCGGGATAATTTAGTTCTTTCACTTTTAAAGTTTATAATTATAATCATTATCATCATTTTTATTATATTACATCAGTGTCACTCTGCCTATGTAGTCGTGTATGTTATTCCGTTAGAATTTTAAGTAAAAAAAAAGACACGGACAACTGAGCTCATGATAGACTTTTTAAGTTCATGGTACGATGTACATATAAGAAAGAGATATTATATATTTTTGTCCGACCAATTCAAATAAATGCTTGAAATATTTTAATAAAAACAAAAGGTAATACTCGATCAATATGAACTGACCTTCCAGACTTCTATTATCATGACTTTTCATCTATGCACGTCATAGAGATTCAGTTTCTTCTGATACATACAATTAATTCCATACTTTGTCCCAGGTGTATTAGTATTTTTGCACAAGTCATAAAGTAGTTGGATCATAACAAATGTATTAAACCATATATTTGTAGCAAAAGTTATTGTTTGAATTTTGAAAAAGCATACTTCCCAAATGTTTGCTAAAAAGAAATATGCTAGTAAATTTCCTTAAAGCATAAGGCGTATGCACAAAATCAAAACGATTTAGGATTCTGATCCGAAACATCTAATCGTACCTACAAAAGTCATGAGTGTTGAATAAGAAAGACATTATTTCTATCTAAGAACTCTATGACGAATCGTTAAAAATATTATAATCAAAGGGCTGCAAGCTCTGTGGTATTTTCTGATCTTTGCAATCTAAATCGTACTGTATATCTGTATGTATTTTCCTGTATAAGTTTATTTTTATGTACTATAATTCATCTTGCAGGGCACAAGAGCTTGATACATACGGAATTTTGCATGACTAGAGTTGCATCAAAAAATCATTTATGTTCATTTTTTATGACATCCACACTTTATCCTTGCATATCGTTGCTACTTCCTTAACAAAGAAACTTAAAAAATAGATGCCTCGAATGGGATTCGACCCCCAGACCTTTGACACAGTAAACGAGCTCGTTACCCCTGCAGCTCGGGGAAGTTATTCGAAAAACCTGAATAAAATCAAATAATACTAAATTTAGAATTTCCATTGCATTTCGGGTTTATTAATTTCGAGGTTGTCCAACAACATTGACCTGGCACTCTTGCACTTGACCATGTAGTTGGTATATTCCATAAACTTTACGATATACTTTTAAATCAATATGAATATAGATATCAAATTGTTAAAAATAATGTAAATCTCTGTTAGCGCAGTTGGTAAAGTGTTTTCACTTGTAGATTGTACACGTAAACTGGTAGTTCAAAGATTTTGTTTTATTTTGATTTTTTTATTTCAATGTTAAAAATGCATTCTCTTAAAACTGTTACAAGCCTTATTGTTGTGTGTACTGTATATGTAGTATTTTTAATAACTACCTTTATAGCATATACGATTGCATATAATGTCACAGAGAGAATCGTTGAAAGAAAGTGTAATGAAATAAAAATATAATTGTGTAATGAAAACAACACTTACAAAAATTTATTCTAAATCTAGGTTTAGTAAAACGATTTCAAATTAGTTCTTGCAAAGAATCACAACGTGGTGTTGGTAAGGAATCGAACCAGAGACCTTCAGATCGGTAGTCCGGCATCTATACCAATACACCACATCTCAATGATCAGTGATGTTAGCAAATATATCGATATATTCGATAGATATTGGTCAGTGTTTATTCAAGTGACATTTACGTAAGTTAATGAAGTGCCAGGTCAATATTGTTGGACAATATTTCGTTCACGATAAACTTGTTGTTTAACATTGATGTAAATAATTTAGCGAAAATCTCCTGCCAAAACAGTCCGACATGTATATATCCCACTACTCGACAATCATATTTATTTGTGTAATACGCTCTGATCGACATCGCTAAAATAGCATTTTCATTGATTAAAATCATATTCATCCGTGTAATTTGTGATTGTGCATTTATTGACAATTCTATAACCCAAAGCTACTTTTAAACTTTAAATGCGTTGTAATTTGTGGGAAACTTATAACACAATAAAAAATATTTCTTTCTTTTAAATCGCTAGTTTAAGTTGTTTTAAGAACTACTTGTTGTTAGGTGTGTCGTGAACAGCTGTGTCAGAGATTGAATGTCAGCTTTGTATTTCCTGATCTTCGATGAGAAAATGAATGTCAGCTTTGTATTTCCTGATCTTCGATCAGAAAATACAAAAACAAAATGATTGTACTGGCAATATAATTCAAAATAAAGTCAACAGCAACAACAACAAAAATAATCCTTTCTTTAAATATAGTTGTTCTTTTAATGAGAGTTAAGTGTAAAACTGTAATTTTTAGAAACGGTAATTTCCGCGAGTTATCTAACATGAATATTTAGAAATACAATGCTTATATAGAAAGATGTATTTCTTTTTTTTTCAG